TCATTGATATCTAAAATAGCATACCATACTCAGAAGCAGCTATTTGAGTTGCATGTAATTGCCACAAAGAAAATATATTGACCTTTTTAAAAACATTGCATTGAAACCATCATTTACAATTTAACGGTAATGGACGATGACTTCAAATTCACTGTATGTTTTAAAGAACATCATTTCAATTTGACGATAAAGCTACAGTTTCACCATCGAATTCACTTGAGTCTCAAACGACACGATCGCGCGAGCGCATGTCGTAAACTACTCCTTTTGCCATTGACGACATACGACATCATACACACACATGCGCGTACGCACGCACACACTTGCGAGCTTACACGAGCCGTCGAAGAGCAATAAACGACTCCCGTCAAGTCCAAAATGAAAGGGTAGGCGACGTTGAGGCAGGGCGAGACCATGACCATAGCAAGGGCTAATGAGAATCATTCTGTTCCGCAAAAACCTCACTCAAGCAGACTTTCCCCTACTTGTCAAAATGTTAAAAGAAGGGAGAGCGGTGGGCTCAGAAAAAGATATAATTGATATCAGCACAGTCAATCGATAATCCTAATTGAGCTTGGCAAGGTTTAATTGCTAGAATGAAGAGGGGATCGCGCGAAAGAAAATATAGGCGCACGGAGTAATCTGATTGCGTTATATATACTGGCTATGGTCATGTATAATCGCAAAGTCGAAGAAGGCGACGATTATTTCAGGATGTGGGCGAAACTGTCGAGAGCTGATGGGGACTAATGGCTTGCTTTTCAGCTCTTTTTTTTCGACGAGTGCTGTGCTGGCATAAAGCTTACGGGGTAGAGAGGTCTCGTGATTGTGAATCGCAAATTTCAAGCTGGTTTATAGCTCGACGATGCAGGAATGAACCATTACTTTCGGCGATTTGGTACGTATTATAGTATGACTTGTGACTTGGCAATGACACTAAATGAGAGTGATTGAAATAATGGATGGAAGGCGTTGAATGGAAAATCAATTGAAAAAGATCCACGAAGAATTCTCGGAGGTAGTTATGTATACATTCAAAAGCACATAATGGCCTAGAGCAGAATGCAATAAGAGCGACACAATGAAATCACTTAGAGCCGCGAAGCCAATTCCAAATGCAGTCGTTTACGTGACTTGTCTCTTTGGCCTGCCGCTGCTGTTGCTGCTACTACGAGTCTCTCGTCTATCGAGTAGCTTTTCTTCTTGAAGCGCAGTTGAATCGATAAGTAAACGTCATTTCGGACGTATCTGCAAACTCGGAAGAATAAGATACTTCTCTAGCAGCTCCGTTTCCCTGAATAAACTCTGGCGCTCGAATGGTGAGAGGGGGGGGGGGGGCGGAGTGACAATCGCTAATAAGATCGGATAACAAAAGTCCCGACTGGTGTAACGGCTGCAGAGAGCAGTAAAAGGAAAAGAAGCGCTGCCAGTAGGAGGAGGGATAATTGCCGAGGCTATGTGACGCGCGGCATTTATCAAATTCGTGGTAGCGAAGGAATCCTATCCGCGTGCGCGTCTATAGCGAATGTTACAAAGAGCAATAGCTCGCGAGCAATTGGTTTCTGCGGCTGCTAGCTGGTAATCCAAACCAGACTCTCCTCGGAAGTCTTTTGCTCTTGCCGCGACCAAAGGAAGAAAATCTCGCGTGGGCGAAAGTTATTGCCTTAACTTTTCATTGAAGGCCTCGTAGCAGGGAAGCACACAACCACCTAGTGAAAGTCGTCGACGAAAATAAAGGAAACGGAAGGGATGGTAAGGGAGGCGACAGGATCAAAGGGAAAAGGTTTAAAGCAGCCCGCGTATAGTCGTGTTACCTCGGGGAATACTTACAGTTCGCCATCGATCCCCGCGGCTATCTCTTTAGACTTCTTAAAAAGTGTTCGAGTGTGGGTGACGCAAGCTTCCTTCTTTATGTATCTAACCATCGCTCGCCTCGCCTCGCCTCGCCTCGCCTCGCCTTGCCTTTCCCTCCCTTCTTCTTCTTCTCCTTCTTCTCCAGTCTGATGCGCCTGTCGCTTTTCATGCTGGAAGACAGGATGAGTCTTGGGATATATACACGCGCGCTGTCAAGTGCAATGTTTACTCGGACCAAGATTCCAAACGTTTGCCGCATTGCTCCGCTGCATAACGCTGGCTCCACGATTTTTCACGGATCTTTCACTTCGATTGTCGCGCTACTTACGTATCGTCAAGTCGACTGAGTAAATCGAAGGGAACGAACGATTGTTGCTGAAGTCTTATACTTCAAATTCGTGCTCTTTACAAATTTTCTTTTCTTTATAATTCGACTGACTTTCAAAATCTAATTCCTTTTTCTAAATTTGACAAAATTTGAAACTTAGTAGGAAAAGCGGATATTGGATACAGGCGTGCGAAACACTATTTCGATGCGATTCTATTGTCAAAATCAATTATTTAAAGAAAAAAATGATTTATTTGCATGTCTGACCATATCGCCCATTTACTACTTGAATTAGTAATTGGTTGCGGCTCTGCAAGTTTAGCCGATAATTGCTGAAATATGAATTTGCAATTGCGGGAGAGGCTTTACAGGGATAGATTCTGATATGCGGCGGTGCAGCATTTAACAGACGCTATTCAAAAGATGTAAATAATGTGTTGGCGTATCGTCGTTGTCGTCGCCGCGACAAAAGCCTGTATAGCCTGTCGTGGGCGAGCATTATATTCTGTTTAAAAAGAAACTCGTAAATTATAGAAAAGGTGCAGTGAGAGAAAGAGAGGGGGGGGGGAAGAGAGAGAAAGCGGAAGGAAAAATATGCTTTATTCAATAGAGCAGGAACAGCAACAGCGCTGCACACAATATTCCGTCGCGTCGTCCTCTTACTCTCTGTCTCGCGTGGTCGCTCCTTGGCTGCCTTTTTATTCGCATTGATATCGGCCAAAGTCACGTGCGCCACTTGAACGTAAATAAGTGAATCGTTGCACGCTGCGCAACCGTGGTCACGTTCTTCTTTTTCGCCAAGATACGAAACAAGCGAACAAGCGAGAGATAGAGAGAGAGAGAGAGAGAGAGAGAGAGAGAGAGAGAACGAGAGAGGAGTCGAGAAAGAGAAATAGAGCCAGTGGCGAGCTTGCGCAAGCGTACACACACTTACATGCACAGAGCCGAGCATAAGATTAGGAAAAATTTATAGACGAGCAGGTATGTAGCAAAGAGTTGAACTTTGCTCTCTCTCTCTCTCTCTCTCCTTCTTTTCATTCTCTTTTGAGCAGCTGATAATCAATTAGAAACCAGATTCCTTGGAGAATTCCATTGTATTACAAGAGCGACAGAAGATTCTCGGATTTTCTTCTACTTTACGAAATTTCAAAGACCTTGCCTTTGCATTAAATTCACATCATAATTTTTTTCTCCTTCCTGTCGCGCAAGAAATATCAGACATTCTGATTTGAGCTCCCTTTACACGTTATTATGCGCGCTCAAGTCACGTCAGCAGTCTTATCTTCGACTCTTTTTCTCTCTATGTATGTGCTTTCAGTGCATTCAAACAATATTTGGCATTATTTCCATGGTAGAGCGCGCCGCCGATCAAATGAAACGGAATAGCGAGCCTAGCAGTGTCTGGCATTGAGCTGGTGGCACATCGAGAAATGCTTCTACCTGATCGAAATACATATGGGAGTCCAGCCGGCGCTCCTCGTATGACCCCAATAAACATCTCCCAGATTTATTTGCAGACCGATGCTCAATTCAGTTTACGTTGCTATTGCGCGCGACTTGGCCGTGCGTTCATCTTGGCAGCTGGCAGTTTGCCATTGCATTCGTGAGCTTTGCCTTTGGCGAGCGCTCTCTTTCCCCCCTTTTTTCCCTATCTACGTTCCCGCCAACTACGCGCTCGAGTAATCGTCAGTTCGCTCTCGTGTGCCTTTCATCATTATAGCGTCACTAAATGATGACCTTATAGCCCCGAAGAGACATTCACGGTGAGCCGAGTGTGAAAGAAAGCAAGTTTCTTTTTTCTTTTAATCTTTCACTCGACTGTCGTAGTTTTTCAGCTAGCCGTGCATGAATCGACGATAAATTTGTTCATTTTTTCGAACAAGGTTCACACTATACTCCGTGCGATTAAATAAATACTGAATCGATCGTACTTCGCTTCGCTCGTAATAGAAATAAGCTAAAGATATATACGAACACGTATAGGCGCAGTTACATCGGCATCGTCACTCGCTGGTAAATCGCTGCCGCGCCGTCGATAAAATATGATAGACATTATATACATTTTCCCTCTACATTCGTTGCCTACCTGCTGCGCATATCCATCCCATCCAATCGCAGCGACGAGCTACGATCACAAAGCAAAAACGACCACTAAAAAATAAAAGCAACGAGTCTTTAGCCCGGCCGCTGCCGTTTGCCACTATCGCTGCGATAGCAAGACATTGAAGGAGAGATATGTAGATAACGGCGGGGAAGGGAGCTCAAAGAGAAAACGCGAAAATACGCAAACCCCCGAGGCCATTCCGATTGAAATAGCTCTGTCGCGCACGCGTGTGCACGAGGTTCGCCGCAATTTCCTTTTTCGGCATCGAATCTTCGGCCTGGCGGCATACGCGCAGTAATAGCACGTTGGCCTCGTAAACGGTAAGCTCGGACCATTAGATTAGGTGCAGCGGCAGCGGAAGCAGCATCCGCAGAAGCAGTCGCAGGAGGTTCTCTCGAATCCGCGACATTAGTCGGGATTCGCGCTGCTCGTCCCGGGAGCTACGCGTGCGCGTCCTCGGCTTTCTCTCTCCCCACTAAGGGTGTACGCGAGCCACGCGACCCACAACTCCCACTCCAGGCTAGAAGCACGCGCCAGGTCAGCCGCTGCGTGCAGAGTGGGGGTAAAGCCAGAGAGAAAGAGAGAGAGAGAGAGAGAGAGAGCGCGCGACTGAGGGCGCAGAGAGAGAGAGAGAGAGAGAGAGCGCGCGAGAGCAGTTAGGAGGGGAGAGAGTAGCGGCGTCGCCAGTTCCGAAAGAGCAGTGCTCCCGTGAGGACCGTTTCGTCGTCCATCGTCGCTGTCGCTGCCGCGTTCAGCTCCCGGGACAGTGAGCCGCGAGCGACTGCGTGCCGAGCAGCAAGTGAAAGGCTCTCCGCAGCTTGCACACGTCGTATAGCGCACGCACGGCGACGTTTAGTCCGTGACGTATCCCATGCAGTGTCGCTGTGCCGCGGCCAATGTGCCGCCCGATCTAGGGCTCGTACCTCGCAGCTCCTGACAGTGCTGATAAAACGACACGGCGAGCGGCGATAACACGAGTGTATGCAAAACAAAACAAGCCGCTAAAGTGCATCGCAGTGCGTGTCAGTGTTGGCAGCGAGCTCGCTTTTCCCCCGTTCGCCTCGCGATCCCCACAGTGTTTCTGTGTGCAGCCGCGCACTGATCCATGTGCGTACACAGCCGGATGATGCACCAGTGGAAGTGGCCCTCGTAGTGACCGCCGATAGTTCTTCTTTATACTCTCGAACACGCGAGTTTCTGGCTGGAGATTTGTGCATTAAATAACCAGCTCCCATCATGGAAACGAACTTCGCTTCCAGCAGGTTAGCAGAGAGAGCTTCGCTCTTCTTCGGCGCTGTGTATGTGTGTGTGTCTGTGTTTTTTTGTGCGCTGCCGCTGCTGCCGCTCCGTACGGTATATACCTGCGGGACAAGCGCACTGAAATATTCAGTCCCGCTCGCTATATGCGTTTTCTCTCGCTCTCGCTCCCGTGCGTGATGTCGGTGTGTGCGGCTGTGTGCGCTCTCTTCCTGTACCCGAGTCGCTGAATTTACTCTCAACATTGTCTTTGTTCGGCGATCTCCCCACCTTTTATCTATTTTATCTAAGTATCTATCTATCTAATGGACCCTTGGCAGATATCCTAAAATCCTTGCTATAATTATCTCGCGAGATTTACACGCAAAAATAATTACCGGCTTGATTTTTCTATTTTCGACAACTCTCTTATTTCCATCTCTCGTACACGATGAGATAGCATCAAACGCGAATCGATCCAAAGAACGACACTTCTGCACGGAAACACCATTGATCTCGCGCGACGCGCACATGTAGCCGCATAGTGGGCGAGTTTGAAGTGCCGGATTGGAATATCAGGCTAACAGATGTGACAGCCGCCAATAAATTTCTTGTGCTGTGCGTTATCACTCGTGAAATTTATCAAAAGAAAAACAAAGCAAGAAAGCCAGACGCGTTGCAAGGCGTTGTACGAATTGATCGCTGGTGAATATCGCAAAGGCAAATTGGTAAACGTCGCGCGCACCGTGGAACGGCAGATAGAAAGAGAGAGCGCACGAGAAACCGAGAGAATGAGAAGAAAAAAGAATGTCAAAGCTGCATGGTCGTGCGAATTCAAGCTTAAATTCATAAGCACGCTTCATTAAGATATCGATCTGGGGTTGCGTTCTACGCGCAAAGGTCGCGCTACTAGCGTGTGGCGCGTCGCTCTGCGAACAGAGCAGCGGCAGCAGTGAAACGGAAGGGAAAAAAGGAAGAAGAAAAAAACAGAGACGCGGAGAGGAGGAGCATAAAAAGTTTTTTTCTCTCCCGCTTCAATCATGCTTCCGCTATATATATACATACGTATATGCATGCGCGTTTTCTTTTCTATTTCTTTCTACATAGGAGGGAGGTCAGGAGAAAGAACAATCGCCATTTAGCTTTGAATAAATAAGCAGCGCAGAAGTTACCTCCTTTTTATTGCCAACGTCTTCATTCCTGAATCCGTGATATATTTAATGTAGCCCTTTGTGGCGCGATTGCGTAAATGTAACTTTTCGTGGTCGATGCAATCGGTCGACCGCTCTGATAATTAAATTAAATTAAATTGTTTCGTGGTTCAGACAGTTTCAATCAATTAATAATTCGATTGAAATTATAACGTCCAGCAGAGTATGGCTGTTTCGAGTTGACGTATTGCGAACGTGTTTTGAAGCACAATGAGTTGACGAATGATGTATTGCAAGGTATTAGTGGAGAAATCAGGCGGAAAATAAGATAATAAATAATCCACTTAGTTAACCATCACCTTTGCTTTTTGCTAACGAGAAGCATTTTTGCTCCTAACGCGAATTATCGCGGCGCGGCGTCGCAGCATACGACCTTAATGCTGATAATAACAGTATTTCAAAGCGCTAATTAGAAGTTAGGAAATTCCATGGTTCTTTTAAGTATTTCGCTAGGTAGCGAGTAGTGCGCTACGGCTGGCGGTGAAGAGCAGGGAGGGGGAGGGAAGAAATTTTTCCAATTCAAACTTCGAAGGCAACAGAGCGCATTATGCGGAAGCAAGAAAAGAGCAGCGTTGCGTTAAACTCGCCGACGCCGCCAACTCCTTATAAACTCTTTAATCTTTACGTTTTGGTCAAAGTTTCGCTTGCCTCACGCTCTGAATAGAAGGGAGGGGAAAACCCGTAAACATTGAGCACCTCCCACGATTATAATTATTCGAGTTTATCTTAGAGAAGCGCCTCCTTTTGCTCCCTTTCTCTCTCTCTGGTTTACTTTCTTTTGTTTCAAACGGCTTCGTGCTCTCTCTGCTCAGCTTCTGTGTCTTGTTGTTTGAGTTAACGAAACTCCCTTTGTCACGGATATAATCATTTCATTTTTGATTCGCATTCCTTTAATGCAATCACTTATCGCGCACTTGATAATACGACTTGTATACGTGTATATCTGTGTGTGTCTTAAGGCGAGAGTAAGAAATTGATCGTTTGCATTGAGAGCAGTGATAAATTTAAAAAATTCGTATCAATATTCAACTTTTGCATGTGCTTTTGCATAGAAAATACAAGCTCGATTTTGTCCTTAATAATAATAAGAAAAAAAGTCGCTTTTAATGGGCATTACGTTTGGAAATGAAACGTCAGTTTTATCGCACAATTGGTAGATGGAGGATGTGTTTATTCAAAATCAAAAGTACATTTATCCTCTCTTCATCGTGCTGATTGAAGCGTACCTTTCGCGCTGAATCGTCAAGCAGTCGCATGTCCACGCATACGTCGACGCGCTTGTGAAAGTTAATCATTTCCTCCCCTCCGATTCGCAACTGCGACGACGTGAACGTAGCTAACTCGCGAAGCACCCTCGACAAATCGATCCGCTACCGACGGCGTGGAGGGTAAATAAAACTCGTCAAACCCCTCTCGGATTGGCGCGAGAATTGCGGTTGCCAATTCAATTAGTCGCGTCTCGCGGAATCATCTCGCACGAAAAAGTCTTGTCGATCTCATTTACGCATGATTATAGTAGTGTGGATGTCAACAGTGCAGTCTCGAGAGTATAAATTTCGCTTTCAAATTTTACTCTTTTATTTTCTAAATTATCTCTCTCTTTCTCTCAGCTTACCATGAGTATTGTGGTGTCTATTCAATTAGTCGCGCCCTACAAAGTCAGCTCGAACGAAAAAATCTCGTTGATTATTGTCGTGGATGTTAACCAGCGTCTACTCTTGATAATATAATAATTGTAATATTCAAAATATACTCATTTCTCATTGTTAAAATGGCATCTATGCTGATCGCAACATATTTAAATTTTATTTTTTGCTTCGCATAGAACCTGCGGATGTGATTTTTGAGATACCTTACTTATTGCATACTGGATCGCAGAATATTTGAGAAAAGGGAGGTTCAAGAAAGGTAAGCGAGCAATGCGAGCTATGCTCAACAATTCGCTATTCAAAGAGTGTATCCCAGCTAAAATCCCGTATGGAGTTGTCGGCAAAGTCCTGTCTACATCGAATTCGACGGGCATCCGTTCGCTCCATTCAGCGTCCTGTAATTCCACAGAACCCCGTCAATTCGCGCGTTTGCACGGCACTGATCCATTTAACTCCATTGTCATCGCCTTCGAGGACTTGCCCGTGCAATCGAGCGCGGAAATTTCTTTTTCATATTGCATGTGCTCGGCGCTTAATTAAATACGACTGCGGGGAATCGCGCATTAATAATAAATTGCTTGCGATTTGGCCTTTAAACAGTTCGTACACTTGAACTTGTTTGACAGGATTCCCGAAATTGGTACGTTTTCCAGAAAATATAAGCGCATGCAATACACGCAAGCTCGCAATCAAAACAGCTTTGAATGTTGCTATTAAATAAGTGAATAAATGTTCCAGAGTATACAGCATGGTTATATTTATGCAGTATTTTCAATGAGCGCCATTTGTAGTTTGATAAATGATGAAAAGCATCACAAAAAAATACTAAATTTTAACAGTTTTAAAAGTTTTACGAGTGTTACTCGCGTTATACACAAATTCGAAATATTTCGTCATTTGCACGACTCACTGAGATCTGCTCTTGCCCCTTGATATTTGCGCAGCTATATTTTCTCATTTCGTATTCCGCTAATTTGAATACGTAACGAACTGGAAAACTCTACATGTAAAGCAGTCTTCGTCGACGTCTGTGGGCGCGTATGCCATACTTGGCGTAAGAAATTCGCGTGCTTTGTCGACAGAAAACGTAAAGACAGCAAAAGTAGGAATCAACTTTGATGATGGGTTTATATGTATGCTTCGATAAAGAAAGCTTGTGCAAAGTGTAAAGTCCTACGTTGATTGATATATATTGGCGGCGTCCATTTGATTTTATCGCGGGAAGCAAAAATATTGCCGTTTGTTTTGACATTCCGCAAGAGGATTTATGAAAACACGTATTTTTATCCCGTATTTGTTCAAACATTTTTCAATACTGCAAACAACTGAAAAACATTCGTCTGCTGCATACAAAATATTTTTCTATAGATGAATCATATACTAGGTAGCTATCGTTGCAGCCATTCTTCTCAAAAGCAAAAAAAAATTGAATTGTCAAAGATCTACATATTTCTTGATTTAATTCAAACGAGCACTTGAAAAATATCTGTTTCTACGTGCAGTACATCTGACACTTTTTAGCTTATTTTATTTAGCTTTACGCTCGAGCCGTGTAAATAATATTTAGCATAATCATTGCTAAAGTATAATCCATGCAGTTTTCCAAACTCACGCGCGAGTATAAAGAAAGAAAAAAGAAAAGCTTACGTCAATACGTATATGTCGCATAAGTGGGTATATATCGACGAATGGAAAAAAGGTGAGCCAGCGCTATTTTACTTTCAAAGTGATCATGCATGAGGCATTGGGCATGGCAATCGCTTGACCGATCATTAGATTGTCACTCGGATGGAAAATTGCGAGATCCCGTGAGACCGGAAAAAGCGACGTCCGTTTCGACCTTTTTACGCTTATAATAGATTGCTCTTATAACAGAGCCTATTGTCTACTATATTGCACGATTTATTTTGAATGAACTTGTCCGTGCATCTATATTGAACCGATGTACAAAGTGGATTCTCATTCTGTAATATCTTTTCTCATTCAACTTGAAATAAGTGTATCAGATTAGCTTACATTAATAAATGTACGTCGGTTCACTTCGTAGAAATGTTCATACGTAGATACTCGAAAAAATAGCCATTATCATTAAAAACTTTCAGCTGCTTTAATTTGCTTATATGTCCGTAGAAAATTTCGCTTTTCTTTTACTTATCCAATAAATTT